GGGGAGCAGGGGGAGATGCTGCCGGGATGCGGGATGCGGCGGCGGCCGGGCCGGGAACCCCCCGGGCGGGGAGATAAGGAGGTTAGAGAAGGGGGGGAGGTGAAAGGAAGGGGGACACAGCCGGGAAGGTGAGAGACAGCGATGCTCTCTCCTGTGGCCCGGAGCAAAAACCTTTGTCCCGCAGGTACGATCGGTGCTTTAAGTTGTTAATGGCCCCCGGGGCCGGCGTTTGATGTGGGCGGCGGGAGGCGGCTGAGGAGGGTTGGGGTGGGGGGGGAGTTAAATTAGGGAAAAAAGGGGGGGAAAGAAGGAGAGGAGGAAAGATGACTCGACCCTTCCACCCCGCGCGTGTCCTCATCCTCTAAAGCCCAGCCACGCGTGACCGAGGGGGCTTAAAGGAGAAGGGGGGATGCAGCCCCCATTAGTGCTGCCCAAAGCGGGGGGCAGACCCCAAGCAGAGCCCGTGAAACTCCCTCTCCCGCGTGTTTTTTATCCCTTTCCCCTGTTTTTCCCGTGTGGGGAACTGGGAGCACAGTGGGGTGACCCACTGGGGACTGGGAATCCCGTAGRTCTGGATGGGCAGGAATCTCCCAAAGTCATGGGACAGGCTGGGGACAAGGGGTGCTTTACTCATGTTGGGTTGGTTTCGAATTTGGGGGAATTTGAGGTGTGTTTGTGCCTTGGGATGTCATCGGGGCCTTGTGGACGGCTTGCAGTGGTAAGGCCCCAAAAACCGCTTGTGGAAAGGGATCAGGGTGAAACCCCTTTCCCAAGGAGGGTCCAGGAAGGGGGTGAGACGATTCGAGGCGCTGTTTTCTCTGCGGATCGTGGAGGGAACCCCTTGGACGGGGTTTGGAACAGCCTGGTGTGGTGGAAGGTGTCCCTGCCCACGGCAGGGGGGTCGGAACGGGATGGCCTTTTAGATCCCTTCCAACCCAAACCATTCTGGAATTCGAGGATTCYGTGCAAACCACCTCACACCGCGAGAAGGGCCGGCTGGGGCGGGCTGGGGGAATTACGGCCGGAGAGATAACTCTTGGGACTGCTTTAGGTTTAACCAACAGATCCCCCCGGCTGAACCCCTCCGCTGGGCTGAATTTAGCAGCGAGAGAGATAACCAGCAGATAAGGGCTGATACCCCGGGAGGGCAGCGGGAGACGGGCAGGCGGCCGAGGAGAGGGAGAGAAGCCGGAGGCGGCGTTGGGAAAGGGTAAGGATGGAAACGAGCCGGGAAGAAGGGGATTTAAGGGAGGTGTGTGTTCCTCCCGACCCCCAGGGAATGGTTGGTGTGTGACCTAGGACAGAGCGTTCCCACAGGATTCCCCAAAGAGGAGCGGGATCCGCTGGCGGGGAGCGAGGAGCGAGTTCCCCTCCTGCCCTACAAATAGTCGCGGTGATAAAAAAAAAAAAAAAAAAAAAAAAAAAAAAAAAAAAAAAAAAGGCAAAATTGAGTCCCTTTTCAAGCCCGAGGAGACAATAGGAGGAAGCTTTTGGGGAGGCCTGTAGGAAGGGGCTCGCTGGGGTCCCGGCGTGACTGCGGGGAAGAGGAGCGAGGGGACGGAGAAGGGCTACCCACCTTCAGTGCTGGGGGGCACAGAGGGGGGCGAAGCCGTGAGGCAGAACCCCCACCTTCGCTGTGGGGAAGGCAGAGGGCTCAGAGATGCCTGGCTCCTGCTTCTTTGGGGGGTTAGGGGCAGCGCTGCCCCCCTGTTGGCTCCCCAGTATGGCCAGGCTGCCCAGTCCCACTCGCTGACTGGTTTTCCCACGTCACGTGGAAAWGGGCGGCGATGGGAGGGAAAGGGGGGGTGAAAGGGGTGGCCGGTATCTCTTGCACCATCAGCCGGGCGCCAGGTTTCATGGCTGTGGAGAGAGAGAGAGAGAAAAAAAAGGGATAAAATAAAATAAAATAATAAAATCACACCAGCCCCACGGGCTGGCCCACGCTGGGCAGCCTCGCGTCCCGTGCCCGGCTCCCAGAAATAATCACGGTGATTTCCTGAATGGTACGAACACCCCGCAGTCCCCCAGTCCCGCTGGAGTTCACCCCTTTCGTTGGGGATTTTGCACAGGGGAGATTTTTCTGTGTTTCTGCCCCAAATTTTGGTGGCAGCTGGTCTCCTCTCTATCCCGGCCACTTTGGGGGTGCTGCCCCCAAACTGGGCACCCATCTCTTGTCCCTCCATGCTCTGCAAAAGCTGGTGGGTTTAAAGGTTAATGATGAAGTGCAGGGGGATGCTGCACCCTTATGCAATTTGGGGTCCCAAGTCCACGGGGGGCTCAGCCCCTCCTCTCCCGGGGGCTCGTTTCACCCTGGGGTCTCTCCAGCCTTTGGGAGCCATCGTGGGCTTCCTCTTCCCTTTCCCCGTTCCCTGGGAATAACTCTCACAGAATTCATATTTCCCACACTCCCGAGTTTGCCGTGGAAATTTGGGGCTCCTGCCTTGAGCGTGTGTGTGAGTGGGGAGATGGCAGCGGCTTTTGGTGCTTGGAAATAAAAAAAAAAAAAATATTAAATTAAAATTTAAAATCTCCGTATGAAAGAGATGGGGTGAGGGTGAAGAGGGGATGGGGAAACGATTTTTGAAGGGGGATGGAAGGTGAGGGAAGCATTTGGGGGGTGCTCCAGGGTCGGGAATGAATCCCCGGGGACATGGGATCCCCAAATCCTCTGCCCTCCCGTTATTCTGAAACACAAGGGGGACACAGGGACTGCCCAAACCCCAAAAATGGGAAGACGTAGTTGGAGGTAAACCCAAATATCAGGATGAAAATAGTTATGTTTAGCTCTGTATGTATAGACTCGTATAGAAATAAAATTAAAGGCACAGAAATATATAACGAATAAATACCAGCAACGGTGTCACTGTGGATATTTGTACTTTCAGGACACGAGGAAAAATACGTATTTAATAAAAAGTGTGTARTTTATACAGCTCGATACAGAAACTAAGTACAGACGGGACATAATGTATTTTATAATTCACAGGAATGTGTGTTGCATATAAACACGGATATACTTTCATAAATAAATAATTTATTGTTTGTAATTTATAACGCCCTGCGGTATAAATTGTTTTTGTATATATGTAAACGATGAAATATAGATAAATACACATATAATATATAAACGATAATGTGTAATAATTAATAATATCTAAACATGTAAATAGGTATATATAAAAATGCATTAATGTATGTGTATATATATATATAATATGCTTATTAATATGCTTATTAACACAGGGCTATCAACACACAGGAAAATAAAAGAGAATTAAATGTTATCGATAATTCTTTTTATATCCCTTCTCCAAAGCTGCTGCTTATCCGGGTTTGGGACACACATCTTTCCTTCCTTTGCAAAATCCCTGACGACTTTCTCTCCCAAAGCAGTGATTTTCTAAAGATTCGTTGAATTCCTGCAGAAAAGCAGGACTTTACTTAAAAAAAATTTTAAAAGAAGAAAGAAAAAAGAAAAAAAAAAGGAAAAAAAAGCTATTTAAGCTGATTAAACCCGTTCAAGCAGCAGTAGCAGGAGCAGAGATTTCAAAGACTTGCTTTGGCTTTGCTACTTCCAGGAAAAAACGTACAAAAGCAATTCCCGTGGTTTGTTTGGCGTGCGTGTGGCCGGATCCAGCTTTTTCTGCGGGGAATTCTCGGCCGGTGGAGCCGGGAATCGCGGGAACGCGCATCCCGAAAAATCCGAGAGGTGAGGAGCCGCGCTGAGCCCAGCCCGGTGTAACCCAACAGCCGGGAGGGAAA